CCCAGGGCACACTGAGGACATGTGCCTGTGACAGCACGTTAAGGTGATGTTGACAGCACACATGCACAGTCACAGCTCGAAACAATTCTTCGGAATCTCAGACAGTTCCTTACTCCTTGGTTTTCGTTTTGGGAATGTTGGGAGCTGGCCTGTGTGGGACTTGGTATGGACTAGTGACGCCCAAGGACGATGTTATTACGTACAAGATGCTAACACTGATGACAAGCTGGTTGTCATTGCTTAAGTCAGCAATTGCTTCAGAATAATTCACTGACAAATATTTCCAAAGCCTAATAATGCTTCCTGGGTGAATCATTAATAAATCAATGCCAGTAATTAATGTTTTAAAATGCTACAGAGAAACAATTGTGTGTTAAAGTCATGAGAGGCAGAATTTTCAGGAATCTTGTAAGATACGGACAACACTGCTTCTACTTGAAAAAAACCTATCACCCTCCTTTGTGTGAATGGCGGGGCGCTCAGAGGTGTTGACAGAGTGGTGGGACCTGTTCTGCTCTGTGCTCGTGAATTCCCTGTGCTCCTCACAACATGGTTTAATCGATGCCTGGACGCATGACAAGCCGATAAGAGGTGGCACATTACACAGACACAGACCTGTCTAAAACAATCACGTTAGACCACATGCACCTTGAACTCCAGTTAAGGATGGCAGTTCTGGACCGGCGGCCTCCGGTCCCTCTTACGTCCTCACTAAGACAATGGTGGGGATTCAGTTATTTCATTGTGTGACTGTGAAAGGACAAGGACAGGCAAACGGGAGGAGGAACAGTTTAAACAGAACAGCAGCTGGGAAGTGGAAGGACGGGGGTTTGGGGGTGGTGGTAACTGGCCCTGCAGGAGAGAGAACCTGAGCCCCAAAACCCAGACACACGGCACACCCTAAGAAAGGCTCAGGGTCACGGTGTCTCCAAGGTGGGGGTGAGGCAGGATCGAAACAGATTTGCTAAAACCTGCTGGAGAGAAGCAGCTGGAATCCTCATTCTCGGTAACGTGGCCAGAGTGCCCCCCTGACCCCAATCACACTGAAAACAACCAAAAATGCCACTAGAATTGTACATCTGGCATACATATATATATATATATATATATATATATATATATATATTTTTTTTTTAAGCTGAGCCATCCTGCCACCTGTTGGCAGCTCAGCTCAGCTCAGACCAGGCATCGAACTGCTGTTGCTCAGCTCAAACTCTTGAGTGAGCTCTTAACCAACTGAGCCACTCGGCTGGCCCTTAGGATTGTATATGAATCGTCTTAAGAACCTTGGAGAACTGATAAGAAAACAATAAATTATCAGGTCGAAATCTAAGTGAAGGCAAGAATGTAAGTAGATTAAATGACGTGGAAGCTAAAGGAAAGAGGCTCATCAAACTGGATTAGAAAACCAGGAACAGCAGCAGCGTCTGACTCTATTTAAAAAGTGACATCGAAAGGACAAGCTCCCAGAGGCACTGCATTTAAAAGTCAGACAAAGATGCACTGTGTGGAAACTATAAATAGGAAGCTGGTGGTGTTATGGGAAAGCAGACACGATGCTGTAGGCAAAAAGCAGTAACAGCAGCGAGGAGCCTCATGCCATCACCAGATGCCAGGCTCACCAGGAAGAGGCAGCGATTTTAAATCCATGTGTATCCAACAACATAGCCACAAAATAAACACAGGACAAGGAGAGAGTTGAAAGCGGAAAACGTTCATGTACCTCTCTCGGGAACTGATAACAAAACCAGATAAAATAAGTCATTAATGACACACATTTAAACAACATCATTAACAAAGGGAATCTTACAGATACATGTAGAACATAAACAACAACCACAGCTTCTCAAGTGTTCCCATAAAACAGACACAGAGTATTTACAAAAACTATTTAAGGACTAAAATCATACAAAGCTTGTTCTCTGACCAAAAGTAATCAGCCCAAATTAATAACAAATAGAGAATTATAATTCACCTTACTTTTGGAAAATAAGACACAAACTTCTAAATAACCCATGGGTTGAAGAAAAAAAAAATCACAATGGGAATTATAAAATGTCTGAAGTTGGGGTGGCTGGTTAGTTCAGGTGGTTAGAGCACAGTGCTCATAACACCAAGCTTGCCAGTTCGATCCCCACATGGGCCACTGAGGTG